CTCACTCTGCCCCTACACAGATGGTAATGCGCCGTCGCAACCTTCGCTCTCTCTCTCCCGCTACTCTCTCCTCTTCCATCCTATCATCTCTTCCCTCTGCTCAATCCTTCTCCCTACAATCTCCTGATTCTGCCTCCTCAACCCTCCTCTCCTCCCTTTCTGCATCCTTTGACTCTCTATGTCCCCTATCCTCCCGGCCGGCTCGGTCCTCCCCTCCAGCTCCGTGGCTTGATGACTCATTGCGAGCTCACAGAACAGAGCTCCGGGCAGCTGAGCGGAAATGGAAGAAAACTAGACTCCCTGCGGACCTGGCATCTTTTCACTCCCTCCTCTCTACATTTTCTTCATCTGTCTCTGCTGCTAAGGCCACTTTCTACCACGCTAAATTCCAAGCATCTGCCTCTAACCCTAGGAAGCTCTTTGCCACATTCTCCTACCTGCTGAATCCCCCCCCCCCCCCCCTCCTCCCTCTCTGTGGATGGCTTCGTCAACCACTTTGAAAAGAAGGTTGACGACAGCCGATCCTCGTTTGTTAAGTCAAATGACACTGCTGGTCCTGCTCACACTGCCCTACCCTATGCTTTGACTTCTTTCTCCCCTCTCTCTCCAGATAAAATCTTGCGACTTGTGACTGCAGGCCGCCCAACAACCTGCCCGCTTGACCCTATACCCTCCTCTCTTCTCCAGACCATCTCCGGTGACCTTCTTCCCTATCTCACCTCGCTGATCAACTCATCCTTGACCGCTGGCTATGTCCCTTCAGTCTTCAAGAGAGCGAGAGTTGCACCCCTTCTCAAAAAACCAACACTCGATCCCTCTGATGTCAACAACTACAGACCAGTATCCCTTCTTTATTTTCTCTCCAAAACTATTGAGCGTGCCGTCTTTAGCCATCTCTCTTGCTATCTCTCTCAGAATGACCTTCTTGATCCAAACCAGTCAGGTTTCAAGACTGGTCATTCAACTGAGATTGCTCTTCTCTGTGTCACGGAGGCTCTCCGCACTGCTAAAGCTAACTCTCTCTCCTCTGCTCTTGTCCTTCTAGACCTGTCTGCTGCCTTTGATACTGTGAACCATCAGATCCTCCTCTCCACCCTCTCCGAGCTGGGCATCTCCGGCGCGGCTCACTCTTGGATTACGTCCTACCTGACCGGTCGCTCCTACCAAGTGGCGTGGGGAGAAGCTGTCTCCGCACCACGTGCTCTCACCACTGGTGTCCCCCAGGGCTCAGTTCTAGGCCCTCTCCTATTCTCGCTATACACCAAGTCACTTGGCTCTGTCATATCCTCACATGGCCTCTCCTATCATTGCTACGCTGACGACACACAAATAATCTTCTCCTTTCCCCCTTCTGATAACCAGGTGGCGAATCGCATCTCTGCATGTCTGGCAGACATATCAGTATGGATGACGGATCACCACCTCAAGCTGAACCTTGGCAAGACGGAGCTGCTCTTCCTCCCGGGGAAGGACTGCCTGTTCCATGATCTCGCCATCACGGTTGACAACTCCGTTGTGTCCTCCTCCCAGAGTGTGAAGAGCCTTGGCGTGACCCTGGACAACACCCTGTCGTTCTCCGCTAACATCAAGGCGGTGACCCGATCCTGTAGGTTCATGCTCTACAACATTCGGAGAGTACGACCCTGCCTTACACAGGAAGCGGCACAGGTCCTAATCCAGGCACTTGTCATCTCCCGTCTGGATTACTGCAACTCGCTGTTGGCTGGGCTCCCTGCCTGTGCCATTAAACCCCTACAACTCATCCAGAATACCGCAGCCCGTCTGGTGTTCAACCTTCCCAAGTTCTCTCATGTCACCCCCCTCCTCCGCACACTCCACTGGCTTCCAGTTGAAGCTCGCATCTGTTACAAGACCATGGTGCTTGCCTATGGAGCTGTGAGGGGAACGGCACCTCCGTACCTTCAGGCTCTGATCAGTCCCTACACCCAAACGAGGGCATTGCGTTCATCCACCTCTGGCCTGCTGGCTCCCCTTCCTCTGCGGAAGCATAGTTCCCGCTCAGCCCAGTCAAAACTATTCGCTGCTCTGGCACCCCAATGGTGGAACAAGCTCCCTCACGACGCCAGGACAGCGGAGTCACTCACCACCTTCTGGAGACATTTGAAACCCCACCTCCTTAAGGAATACCTGGGATAGGATAAAGTAATCCTTCTACCCCTCCCTTAACCCCCCCCCCCCCCCCCCCCCCAAAAAAAAAAAAGTAAAATTGTAAAGTGGTTATCCCACTGGCTATAAGGTGAATGCACCAATTTGTAAGTCGCTCTGGATAAGAGCGTCTGCTAAATGACGTAAATGTAATGTAATGGGACTAACAAAATGTCCCCAGTTGGTCAAATTTTGTTTGTTTACTATTCTTGTGGGGACTTCTGGTCCCCACGAGAATAGTTAAACACGCACGCACACACACACACAAACACACACAGGGCAGAGTGTGGATGCTGTAGCTACAGCCGGGATCCCTCTTCTCCTGCGTCCCAGATTCACTCAGGTTTCCACCCAAAACCTCAATTCAGCAGAGAGAGGGAGAGAGCGAGGGGGTAGATAGAGAGGGAGAGGAGAAGAGGGGCAGAGCGAGAGGGAGGAAGACAGAGAGGGGGAGAGAGAGAGAGAGAGGGGGGGGGGAGGACAGCGAGTGAGAGAGAGAGTATTGTGAAGGGGGGAGGGGGGGGGGGGGTCCAAGAAAGGGAGAGCTAGAGTGACTTGTGGTTTGAAAATGGTCTGGGAAAGAAGATATATGGGACGAGAAACTCAGGTAGCAATCAACCCTGTCTCCTCCTCCTCCTCCTCCTCCCTCCTCCCTCTCATTCCAACCCAAAACAATATAAAGCAGTCCTAGATCTGATCTTCTGGGCAACTATACCTGCAGCACTGGACATACTATGTCCAAGTATGGACATTGTACATTCTACTACTGAACTAATTTGTCTACCCCTCTTTCCCCCTCACTTTCTCTTTATCATATCCCCTTCTTCTATTGCTTATTTCCTGTGTCTCCCTCTACCGTTCTCAACTCCCTCTCTCTCTTTCTTTCCATCATTCTAACCCAATTGCCCCTTCCTTCTGATCCCTTTGTTCTCGCCTCCTCCTATTCCTCCCTCTCCCATCTTTTCCCCTGCTTCCCTTGACTTGCCCTCTCTCTCTCCCTCCTTCCTTCATTATTTCCCTTCCACCCTCTCACACTCTCACACCTACTGGATTTACTCACTGTGTGTATGTGTGTGTGACACAGGAGGAGAACGCCTCATAACAATGGCCGGAACGGAGCAAAGGGAATGGCATCAAATACCTGGAAACCATGTGTTTGATGAATTTGATACCATTCCACTAATTCCACTCCAGTCATTACCACGAGCCCTTTCTCCCTAATTAAGGTGCAACCAACCTCCTGTGGTGTGTGCATGTTTGTGGGCCTGTCTGCCTCCCTGCCTATCTGCATGCATGTGCACCCACACACGCCCCCGTGTGTGTGTGTGCTTCCACTCCGGGGTGTCTATTCCAGTTAGTCTTTCATTTCCCCTAGCAACTCGGTACAATAACACTCCAACACCTCCTTATTTATTTGACTGTGGATGGCAGGGCTTCAGACTTTACATTGGGGGCTTTTGGGGGGCCCAACAGAGACAGGAGCCACAAGACATTAGGGGAGGTAGACGGTAGTCTCTGGTGGAGTCATGGGGCCCGCGTGGGACCCTCTCTCAGTTTTTATTCTCAGAGTTACGGCTGTGGGACTTAGAGCACGCCGGCACCAGCGTCGGCGCCCGGGCTCCGTGTGAGAATCCGCCAACTGGTGGCGGTCGCCATCCAAGTCAATGGCTGGGGTCGGCCCCCCCTAGGCGGCTGGCATATGGCGGACTGGGGGAGACTGAGGGGAGACTGGGGGGAGACTGAGGGGAGACAGAGGGAGATCCAGGCAAGACCCCTTTGGTGTGTCACATACATATCAGAGAGAGTAACACACAGAGGAGCCCTGGAGCCACCCAGGCTAGGCCCCGGTCGCCGCCAGAGACGCCGTGTCACCAAGCCGAGAGAGAAAGAGAGAGAGAGAGAGAACAAGGAGAGATAGAGATCGTCGTCTGAGAAGCTAGGGAACAGTTGATGAGGACATCATTGGGGTTTAGCGGTGTTGGTTTGAGTGGGTTTGAGTGTGTGTTTATGTGTGTTTGTGTTTGTGTGTATTGGGTGCGGGGGTAGACAACCCAAATCCCACCTTGTCGCCCCCCCTCCTGAGAACGCTCAATCGCACATCCCCATGGCGACTCACTGCTGTCTCTGTTCATCAAAATTAGGGAGATTTACCTACCCCCCAACACACACACACACACAGATACACCACACACATGCTGAACAGGTGGCAGGCCTTGCTCTGCTCAGCAGGGCCCTTCAAAGGTTAAACATTCAGAAGAGTGTGGGCTCTTTCTTTGGCCTTTTCCCAAGGGAGGGAGGGAGGGAGGGAGGGAGGGAGGGAGAGAGAGAGAGAGAGAGAGAGAGAGAGAGAGAGAGAGAGAGAGAGAGAGAGAGAGAGAGAGAGAGAGAGAGAGAGAGAGAGAGAGAGAGAGAGAGAGAGAGAGATTCTTACCTAGTGTTAAAAGGTCCTATTCTAAGTCTTGGCCATGTCTATTGTGTCATCACCACTAACCCCTTCTCTGTCTTTCTCTCTGGTTTGCTCCTGTACGAATGCTGCCAAGCTGGGGGTGGACAACTGGTAAAGCCGATCCTGGATCAGTTTGGCTTCATGCTAGGGCCCTGTGTTTTGTGTCCCGTTTTCTTCTTATGGCAGATGGTCCAGCACCATCCGCAGACAATTGCTTTCATTTTGGGTGTAATTCTAGATAAGGCTCAAAATACAGGATAAAATCTTGCTATTTCACAGAATTGCACAAAACACAGGGACCTATAATGACACAGACTGGTCCCAGTCTCTATGGCAGTCTCTATCGCAGTCCTGAAGATGCATCCCTTCACCACCCATTCCATTGAGCATGGCGTTAAGGTCTACATCTAATCTTATGAATTATATCTGCCCATCTTTAATATCTAAGCTCATACATAGTTATTTTTGTTTTTCAGATGTTAAATCTCAAATCTGGCGATGAGCTGCTCCACGTTTTCTGTACTTTATCCAACAGAATATCCTCTCTGATGATATAAGTGTGTGTGCGTGTGTGCGTCCTTGTGTGCACGTAAATATGTGTGTGTCTGTCTGTGTGTATGAGTGTGTGTTTTGTCTGCAGTTTGTTGTGTTCCCATGCCAACCCCTGTGTGTCTGTGGTTGTGGGTCAGAGGGTTAGCGTGGCTCCGTGTTGCCTATAAGCAGATAAGAGCCAGCGGGGGGAAACTATGTGAATCCTAGTAACACTGCCCCCGCTCTCCCTCCCTCCGTTCCTTGTCCAGCCTGCCTGCCTCCAGTCTGTCTGGTGCCAAGTATCAGATTTCAGAATTTCCTTCTACAAGCCACATTTAGAGTCAGCCAGCAGAGTCCACACATCCCCTTGCCCCTCTCTCTCTTTCAATCTTTCTCTCTCTCTGTCTCTCTCTCTCTTGCTATCACTTTTTCTCTCTCACTATCCCGCCCTTTCTGGCTCTATCTCACACTCTCTCTTTCTGGCTGTCTCTACTTTGCTCTCTCTCAACCTCTGTCCCCTTTATCCCTCTCTGTCAGTACTGTCCTTCTGCCTCATTATGCATCTCTCTCTCTCTGCCTCATTATGCATCTCTCTCTCGCGCACACACGCGCGTGGAAACACACACAATCCTTCACCTTCTGTGACATGAATACAATGATAATTGTAGAAGTTACCTCTAACCAAATCAAAAATAATATCACATTTTAATTGTCACATGCTTCGTAAACAACAAGTGTAGACTAACAGTGAAATGCTTACTTACAGGCCTTTCCCAACAATGCAGAATACAATAAAAAAAGTATGAATGTAACACGAGGAATAAATACACAATGAGCAATGACAGCTTGGCTAAATACAGTATATGTTGAGTATGTATGAGTTGATGTGCGGGAGTACAAGGAAATGTAGGTAGATACAGTATGTACATATACAGTGCCTTCGGAAAGTATTCAGACCCCTTGACTTTCCACATTTTGTTACGTTACAGCCTTATTCTAAAATGGATTTAAAAATAATATCTTTAGCAATTTACGCAAAATACCCCATAATGACAAATGTAAATACCTTATTTACATAAGAATTCAGATCATTTGCTATGAGACTCGAAATTGAGCTCAGGTGTATCCTGTTTCCATTGATCATCCTTGAGATGTTTCTACAACTATATTGGAATCCACCTGTCGTAAATTCAATTGATTGAACATGATTTGGAAAGGCACACACCTGTCTATACAAGGTCCCACAGTTGACAGTGCATGTCAGAGCAAAAACATAGCCATGAGGTTGAAGGAATTTTCCGTAGAGCTCCGAGACAGGATTGTGTTGAGGAACAGATCTAGGGAAGGGTACAAAAACATTTCTGCAGCATTGAAGGTCCCCAAGAACACAGTGGCCTCCATCATTCTTAAATGGAAGAAGTTTGGAACCACAGAGAATCTTCCTAGAGCTAGCCGCCTAGCCAAAACTGAGCAATCGGAGGAGAAGGGACTTGGTCAGGGAGGTGACCAAGAACCCGATGGTCACTCTGACAGAGCTCCAGAGTTCCTCTGTGGAGATGGGAGAACCTTCCAGAAGGACCACCATCTCTGCAGACGTCCACCAATCAGGCCTCTATGGTAGAGTGGCCAGACGGAAACCATTCCTCAGTAAAAGGCACATGACAGCCCGCTTGGAGTTTGCCAAAAGGCACCTAAAGACTCTCAGACCATGAGAAACAAGATTCTCTGGTCTGATGAAACCAAGATTGAACTCTTTGGCCTGAATGCCAAGCGTCACGTCTGGAGGAAACCTGGCACCATTCCTAAGGTGAAGTATGGTGGTGGCAGCATCATGCTGTGGGGATGTTTTTCAGCGGCAGGGACTGGGAGACTAGTCAGGATCGAGGCAAAGATGAACAGAGCAAAGTACAGAGAGATCCTTGATGAAAACCTACTCCAGCGTGCTCAGGACATCAGACTGGGGCGAAGGTTCACCTTCCAACAGGACAACGACCCTAAGCACACAGCCAAGACAACACAGTAGTGGCTTCGGGACAAGTCTCTGAATGTCCTTGATTGGCCTAGCCAGAGCCTGGACTTGAACCCGATCGAACATCTCTGGCAAGACCTGAAAATAGCTGTGCAGCGACACTACCCATCCAGCCTGACCGAGCTTGAGAGGATCTGCAGAGAAGAATGGGAGAAACTCTCCAAATACAGGTTTGCCAAGCTTGTAGCGTCATACCCAAGAAGACTTGAGGCTGTATTCACTTCCAAAGGTGCTTCAACAAAGTACTGAGTGAAAGGTCGGAATACTTATATAAATGTGATATTTCATTTGATTTGATTTTATAAATTTGCAAAGAAAAAAAACAACTGTTTTTGCTTTGTCATTGTTGTGGGGTATTTTGTGTAGATTTATGAGGGGGGAAAATTAATTTAATCCATGTTAGAATAAGGCTGTAATGTGACAAAATGTGGAAAAAGTCAAGGGGCATGAATACTTTCCGAATGCACTGTATATGTGAGTGTGTGGGTAGAGTCCAGTGTGTGTGAATAGAGTCAAAAAGAGTTAGTGCAAAAATGGCCGATGCAGATAGTCTGGGTAGCTATTTGGTTAACTATTTAGCAGTCTTATGGCTTGGGGTTAGAAGTTGTTCTGGAGCCTTTTGGTCCCAGAATTGGCGCTCCGGTACCGCTTCCTGTGCAGTAGAAGAGAGAACATTCTATGACTTGGGTGGCTGGATTCTTAGACAATTTTTAGGGCCTTTCTCTGAGACTGCCTGGTATAGAGGTCATGGATGGCAGGGAGTTCTGTCCGAGTCATGTACTGGGCCATACGCACTATCCTCTGTAGGGCCTTGCGGTCAGATGTCGAGCAGTTGCCATACCAACCGGTGATGCAGCCAGTCAAGATGCTCTCAATGGTGCAGCTGTATAACATTTTGAGGATCTGAGGGCCCATACCAAATCTTTTCACCCTCCTGAAGGGGAAGAGGTGTTGTTGTGCCGTCTTCACGACTGTGTTGGTGTGTTTGGACCATGATAGGTCCTTAGTGATGTGGTCACAGAGGAACTTGAAGCTCTCAAAACGCTCCACTACAGCCCTGTCAATGTGAATGGGGGCATGTGACTGGGCAACTCTCGGCTGGGTTTTCCTTTGTTGTCCGTGATAGTTTGCATGCCCTGCCGACGAGCGTTAGAGCCGGTGTAGTAGGATTCGATCTTAGTCCTGTATTGTAGCTTTGCCTGTTTGATTGTTCGTCGGAGGGCGTAGCGGGATTTCTTATAAGCGTCCGGATTAGTGTCCTGTGCCTTGAAAGCGGCAGCTCTATCCTTAAGATCAGTGCGGATATTTCCTGTAATTCATGGCTTCTGGTTGGGATATGTACGTACTGTCACTGTGGTGACACTTATTGATGAAGCCGGTGACTGATGTGGTAAACTCCTAAATGCCATCCGCTGATACAGGATCTGATGTTATTTACAGTAATTTCCCTAAGGGTTAAGGTTTGGGATAGGGAGGGTAATCTTATCCTAGATCTGTGGATGAGGACAATGTGTATCTATACCAACAAGCTCTCACAATCTCACTGCAGAATTGGATGTTTATCCACATGTCAAATTTAGAAGTAGGTTTTTCCTTTAGCAGACATTCTTGTCCAGAGCGACTTACAGGAGCCATTAGGGTTAAGTGCTCAAGGGCACGTTGACAGATGTTTCACCTAGTCGGCTCAGGGATTCAAACCAGCAACCTTTTAGTTACTGTCCCAACGCTCTTAACTGCTAGGCTACCTGCCGAAGTTGCCCTAAATGTCAAATTTCAAATAGTTTTTGACACCCTGGGATTACTCCCCCTGCTCAGTATCATTCCGTTTCTCCAAATGTCAAATTTCGAAGTTGCTCCAAACGTCAGATTTAGAAGGTTAAGGGTTAAGGTTTTGGATAGGGTTAAAACATAAAGTTTAGGCACTAATTCCAAATTGTTAAGATAAGAGTTAAAACAAAAAATGAGTGCCCACCACTGGGATCGAACACGCAACCTTTTGATCCAGAGTAATTGGATTACACCTATCCGCCACCCCCAAAGTTCTCAGGACATGAATATACGTCCAATTTCGAAGTCACTCTTGAGTGATCTGCCTGATCCATACCTGCATGTTGTGTATGTTGTTCATGTGACAGAAAGCTACATTCAGAGAAACACACAACTACTGTGCACACACACGCACACACTCTGGAAGACACATATCCAGAGATACCTACACAAACAACCGACCCCAGCGCACCCTGCGGCCATACGGCCTAGGAGAGATTTATGGAGGCCTGTGGCGGCAGATTGGCCTGGTGTGGAGGGGCCAGCTTGCCAGCACATAGCTGACGTGAGAGCACGACACACACACACACATACGCACAGACGCACACACACACGTACAGTGAGGGAAAAAGTATTTGATCCCCTGCTGATTTTGTACGTTTGCCCACTGACAAAGACATGATTAGTCTATAATTTTAATGGTAGGTTTATTTGAACAGTGAGAGACAGAATAACAACAAAAAAATCCAGAAAAACGCATGTCAAAAATGTTATCAATTGATTTGCATTTTAATGAGGGAAATAAGTATTTGACCCCTCTGCAAAACATGACTTATTACTTGGTGGCAAAACCCTTGTTGGCAATCACAGAGGTCAGACGTTTCTTGTAGTTGGCCACCAGGTTTGCACACATCTCAGGAGGGATTTTGTCCCACTCCTCTTTGCAGATCTTCTCCAAGTCATTAAGGTTTCGAGGCTGACGTTTGGCAACTCGAACCTTCAGCTCCCTCCACAGATTTTCTATGGGATTAAGATCTGTAGACTGGCTAGGCCACTCCAGGACCTTAATGTGCTTCTTCTTGAGCAACTCCTTTGTTGCCTTGGCCGTGTGTTTTGGGTCATTGTCATGCTGGAATACCCATCCACGACCCATTTTCAATGCCCTGGCTGAGGGAAGGAGGTTCTCACCCAAGATTTGACGGTACATGGCCCCGTCCATCGTCCCTTTGATGCGGTGAAGTTGTCCTGTCCCCTTAGCAGAAAAACACCCCCAAAGCATAATGTTTCCACCTCCATGTTTGACGGTGGGGATGGTGTTCTTGGGGTCATAGGCAGCATTCCTCCTCCTCCAAACATGGCAAGTTGAGTTGATGCCAAAGAGCTCGATTTTGGTCTCATCTGACCACAACACTTTCACCCAGTTCTCCTCTGAATCTTTCAGATGTTCATTGGCAAACTTCAGATGGCCCTGTATATGTGCTTTCTTGAGCAGGGGGACCTTGCGGGCGCTGTAGGATTTCAGTCCTTCACGGCGTAGTGTGTTACCAATTGTTTTCTTGGTGACTATGGTCCCAGCTGCCTTGAGATCATTGACAAGATCCTCCCGTGTAGTTCTGGGCTGATTCCTCACCGTTCTCATGATCATTGCAACTCCACGAGGTGAGATCTTGCATGGAGCCCCAGGCCGAGGGAGATTGACAGTTCTTTTGTGTTTCTTCCATTTGTGAATAATCGCACCAACTGTTATCACCTTCTCACCAAGCTGCTTGGCGATGATATTTTAGCCCATTCCAGCCTTGTGTAGGTCTACAATCTTGTCCCTGACATCCTTGAAGAGCTCCTTGGTCTTGGCCATGGTGGAGAGTTTGGAATCTGATAGATTGATTGCTTCTGTCGACAGGTGTCTTTTATCAGGTAACAAGCTGAGATTAGGAGCACTCCCTTTGAGAGCGTGCTCCTAATCTCAGCTCGATACCTGTATAAAAGACACCTGGGAGCCAGAAATCTTTCTGATTGAGAGGGGGTCAAATACGTATTTCTCTCATTAAAATGCAAATCAATTTATAACATTTTTGACATGCGTTTTTCTGGATTTTGTTGTTGTTATTCTGTCTTTCACTGTTCAAATAAACCTACCATTAAAATTATAGACTGATCATTTCTTTGTCAGTGGGCAAACGTACAAAATCAGCAGGGGATCAAATACTTTTTTCCCTCACTGTATATGCACAGAAAAGTGGCGGTCGGTGCCATTTAAGATGAAGGAGGATGATTTTTATTTTCATGAGCATGGCCTTATTTCTATTACAGCATATTGGATGACTGTCATTCATATTCCATTCACCCAGTTCAATTTAAAAGCGATAGGTTTAGGCTACTACATGATACTCACATTTTCCATAGACCCATCATGAGGTTTCCACAACCTAGCCTATGAATTAATATTTACAACGTAGGTGCAAACAGGTCGAGAGAAAAATTAGAGGCGACAGACAGTGACACATTCAATACTGCCTTGCGCATTCTGGCCTGCATCTAGCTGATCTAGGGTGTAATCATTAGTCCAACAGTGGCAAACAAGAGTTTCTATTGGACAAATCCAGGTATGTTTATCCCTGTTTCGTTCCTTTTGCTCCTGTTTAAGAAACGTTTTTCAACAGTATAGGCAGAATGAATACACAAGTAAATACAGTTCACTTTCATAGCAGCTACGTTGTATTCATTCTCACATCTATGCACTCTCCTCCTCTCACCTTTTCTCTTCACTTGTGGACTTCAATGCACAACACATAATCTGTATGTGACCAGGCAAAAAACCTTTCCAAGCCAAACCATATACTAACCACTACACACAGCCTACATTGTTGTCACCATATTAACTAAAGTAACGTCATAGCCAAGATAGCTTATAGAACTAACATGTTAGTAAACCCGCTACAATCATGCATTAAAGTTACAGTGTACAGTCAGTAAGCTGTTTAGCACTTACACCGGTGGGCCCCGGTGGCAATTAATTAGTCAACCAAAAGCTTACCTTGACTTGGAAGAGTCCCAGTGTTTTGTTGGATAGTCATAGCCAGCTAACTAACATAGCATCACTCTGTTTGAGCATGGTGTTTGAGTAGGCTAAACTAGCTAGCTACATTTGCTAGCTAAGTAAGTGAAACTGAAAGTGAAAAAAAATGACAATCTCTCTATCTCTCTCTTGCTTCTCCATCATTTTGGAAGAAATTCATTTGTTCAAAACTGTTCAACCATTGTCTTTCTCTCTCTTTGCGTCAACTACTCACCACATGTTATGCACTGCAGTGCTAGCTAGCTGTAGCTTATGCTTTCAGTACTAGATTCATTCTCTGATCCTTTGATTGGGTGGACAATAATAATATGCCATTTAGCAGACGCTTTTATCCAAAGTCATGTGTGCATAATTTTTTTTTTTGTGTATGGGTGGTCCTGGGGATCGAACCCACTACCATGGCGTTACAAGCGCCATGCTCTACCAGCTGAGCTACAGAGGACCACATGTCAGTTCATGCTGCAAGAGCTCTGATTGGTTGGAGGACGACCTCCAGAAGTTGTCATAATTACTGTGTAAGTCTATGGAAGGGGGTGAGAACCATGAGCCTCCAAGGTTTTGTTTTGAAGTACAATCTACCCAGAGGAGGATGGAAGCTAGTTGTCCTCCAGCTACACAATGGCGCTACCCTACAGAGTGCTGTTGAGGCTACTGTAGACCTTCATTGCAAAAAAGTATGTTTTAATCAATTATTTGGTGACGTGAATATATTTAGGATAGTTTTATCTAAAAAGGATAAATTCACTAAGGAGGATGGTCCTCCCCTTCCTCCTCTGAGGAGCCTCCACTGGCACAGATGCACACACACATACACACACACATACACGCACACACATACGCATGGGGGCACACACACATGCTTTCGCACACATAGGCACAGAAACACAAACACACACAGGGATATGCACACACACACACATACACAAGGGAGGGAGGGAGGGAGTAAGGGGAGACAGAAAGCGAGAAAGAGAGTGGGCAAGGAGAGGGCAGTCAAAGAGGGAAGGAGGGATGCAGAAATGAGTGAGTGAGAGGGAGAAAGAGGGGAGGATGAGGGAGAGGGCAGGAAAAATTATCTGCAGTGAGAAAGGTGGAGAAAGTGAGCAAGAGAAATACAAGGGATGGTGAGAAGAGGAGGGGGAAGGAGAAACACACACACGGAAATGTGCACACACACACACAAACACATACGCACGCGCACACACACACACAGCTCCCATGTTATACAGTAAGCATCCATGTGTAATTCCACTCCCTGTGTCAGAGTTCCAGTAGGTACTGACAGGGATGGATGAAAAGGAAAGGTGGTAGGATGGAGGGAGATAGGGTATAGCGGGAGGAGGGGAATGGAGGAGAGGAAATGGTGGTAGAGAAGACTGGTGTGTGTGTGTGTGTGTGTGCATGTACATTGTGTATGAGTGTGTCAGTGGCGGCGGTGGTGGTGGTGGTGGGGCTGTAGCTGTGCTATTTGATGTGGGCTTGGTGAGGGGCCAAGCATGAACCCAGGATTCTGGTAGGGCTTTGTTCCCAGCAGGACTGTTTCCTGCTCACAGCGTGTTATAAGGCAGGAATGGGGTGCGTGTGTGTGTGTAATATACCCAACGGTGGCTTAAACAACGTATGTTCTACCCTCTTGTAAGATTCCCAAGATGAAGAGTTCTCTAATGTGTGCTGGGGTGTCGCTGATAGGTGCCTTAGCCATATTGGATTCCAGTCCTGATGGACTATATCAGTATATGCATTTGATCAGCTACAGTATGTCCTAGATCTGTCATTGTCCTATTGTACATGGGGATTTTCAGCACCTCTGTGTCCCTGCTGGGTGCTGGTCTTTACTAGAAGTGGACTGACGAGGTCAGGGTTCCCCTTTGTTCTCTAAAGTGGACTGGTCTGTGCTAATTCTGTTCCCCCATCCCCAACTTTGACAAATTGGGTGTTGAGAGGTGTCGTGTTAGAATGCTGTGGCTTTCAATGCTGTGGCTTTCAAGAGTTATTTTGCTCTCTCTGTCCTCCTCCATCTCTCTCTCTTTTTCTTTCCCTCTGATTCTTGCCCTCACCTATTACTGTCTCTCAAAGCTCAAACTCTTAACTTGCCCTCCCCCTCTCCTCCCTATCTTAAACTTTCTCTCTCCCTGCTTTCCTCTCCATTTCACCATCTCTCTTTTCCTCTTTCTCTCTCTCTGGTGTTGGAGACAAAAGGGAGTCACTGGGGGAATCAGTGACTGTCATTGAGGAGTGACTTTCGGACAAGTCACGTATGTACGTGGCGGGCAGCGGCGTCCATTGATCTTTGAAAGTCGCCGCCACCAACCCCTCGCTAATGTCGTCAAAGAGTGATGGGCCTTCTGGCGGCTGACAGAAAATGTCTGTTCCATCTCAGACAACAAACAACAATAAGCCTGCTGGAAATTCCTATACTACCTCCTCTTTGAAATGGATACTCAGAACATTACAAATATATCTCTGTTTTATCTGTGCCTCAGGCCCTGCCCCATGGAAAGATTATTCCAAATACCTGCGCCGTTTATCTGCCCCTGGAATAGGCTTGCCCAGGGAACACGAGGAAGCCTAAAATAAGACCCTCTATTATGGGACAGAACATTGACTGAGGAGAGAGGGAGAGGAGAGAGGGAGAGAGTGGGGATGTGATGGGTGTATTTTGGTGTGTCGTCCTGCCTGTGAAAGGGGTTGACGCGGGGGCGATCGGTGGCTCCACCGACCGTAGCCTTTATCTATGAGATATGTGGGCCCCGCCGCCACTGTCAGCTGTTGTTCAGTGTGTGTGTGTCCGTGCGTGTGTGTTAATCCTGATTACAGAAACACTTTAACTCACTTAAATTCTCTATTAATTATTCTCTATTCTCTATTAACACTCATAAACATCTGACTAGCATTGGAAATTGACTCTTTATACTGATTCCACCTTAGGCTCAATGTGTGTCATGTGCATTTGGTCCATGACATACACACAAATTCAATAGGTGATTCACTATTAACTAAGCAGAGGGAGGCTCTTTATTTTTTCTTTATTTTCTTTATTTTTCCACACTTCCTCTCTTTCTTTCTTCATCTATCTCTTTCTTTCTTATGTGGGATCGGGTGACGGAATGCGTCACCACCACCTCTGCATCCCGTTGATATTTCCGTCAGCGGCTAAGTGTGTGTTAGCGTCACTGCCCAAGCTCCCCCAGTCATTCACATTGTTCCTGTGGCAGAGTGGAGAGGGCAGCGTAGCTGCCATGCCACAGATGCCAAAATAGGAAGGAATGAGAAGAAATGAGCTCACCTCAGCCGCTCATGAGAAAGAGGTGCCAGGTTGAGAGGGCAGGACTGGCAGGACGGGCAGTGGGCAGTGCCAATGGTAACTCATATGTTAACTATCATAATTACGTAGAAATGATGCCAATGCGATGGAATTAAGAAAACGTGTCAGGACTAGGACCAGGGGTTTGTCCTGACCACCTGACCAGGAAAAACGTCAGGTCCAAGTTAAAACCTTATTGTCCATTATTAGGGCCCAGAGTTTTCCCTTGTCAGGTCATATGGCTAGGAAAAACTCTGGGCCCTACCTCATAACACATGACCCTTAAAAAAGAGGCAAGTCACTTCCAAAATAGTGCATTCATTCAGTAGCTGGTGTAGGATCTAATGTGTTTTGGCTGTATTTTCTTAGTCTTCGTCAGACCCTCCATGTTAAGGACATTCTAAACAAGACATTCTAAAGATGTTAACAAGCAAGGTACTGTTTCTTATAACAGGCAGAAGCTTCAAATATGTGGCCCACCAAACATACTGTAGGTAATGTTTGGTGCATTCTTCAAAAGTGTTGGTAACCACAGTGCTAGTGATTCAAAAATACCAGAAGTACAACAAATACTCACCCGATTCCCCCTGTGGTTCCAATGGCTCAGTGGGTAAGTCCTAGCAACACCAGGCTTATGGGTTTGATTCCCTCATGGTCCCCAAATACTGAATATACTATAGTTGCCAAAATAAACTCTGAGTCACTTTGGATAAAGGTGTCTGCTAAAATACCATACTATGACCGATATAATGATGGTACTAATACTCACCAAAACCCACATTCGCCCTCCCATGCATCCATGCACCCCTTTCTCCCCACAGGGCTGATTCAGCCAAGATGACCCAGCGAGAGATGCGAGAGCCTCACTATCTTCCCACCCGGAAAAAGTCCACCAGCCTGTCATCCCCGAGCACCGCCCGCCGCCTCTACAGGAACTTGTCGGGGAAGTTCCGTGTGGGCAACCTGCCTGGCCTGGAGGACAGTGAGGTGTCGGGACAGGGCGACAAGGAGCGCCTCCGCAAGTCCGCCATGGTGAGGGACACAGGCTCAACACAGAGTCAATACAGGTTTAAACACAGGCTCAACACAGGTGAGATACAAGCGAGACACAGGCTCAACACAGACACACCACAGACTAAACAAAGACATAACACAGGCTCAACACTGACACAACACAGACTCAACACAGACACAATACTGGCTCAACGCAGACACAACACTGGCTCAACACAAGCCCCTAACACCAAAGTCAGATGAATTCATGTATACCATTTTTTTATCTCTGCATCCAGTATGATAGAAGTTAGAGTTAGTTTTGTGAGCCAATGCTAACTAGCGTTAGCACAATGACTGGAAGTCTATGGTATATACTAGCATGCTAGCAGTTACCATAGACTTCCAGTCATTGTGCAAATGCTAATTAGCATTTAACATGTGTTTATGTGTGTTAGTTCCAGAGCAACGAGGTGCTGTTCGAGGCAGTGGAGCACCAGGAGATGGACCTTGTGCAGTTACTCCTGTCCCAGTACAGTCTGGAGGAGCTGGACCTCAACACCCCAAACAGTGAGGGCCTGCTGCCCCTGGACATGGCCATCATGACCAACAACATACCCATGGCCAGGCTGCTGCTCCACGCAGGAGCCAAGGAGAGCCCCCACTGTGGGTACCTGTTCTGGCTGGCTGATTGGCTGGCTGACTGGCTGTCTGGCTGGTTATCTGTCTGTCTTTCTGTCTGGCTGTCTGTATTTGTTCTGGCTGACTGACTGTCTGTTCGCCTGCTTTCCTGTGTGCCCACTTGCACGCCCGCTCCTTAGCTTATAGGATCATAACAGTTGTTTATTGAAGAAAATATGTGGCATGTTCCATCATAAACCACAGTATGAGTAGAAGGTGCCCTTTTGGTACTGATTTAGGATCAGCTTACCCTCCCCAAATCTTAACCCTTAGAATGCAAAACTGACTTTATATATATATATATATATATATATATATATATATATTTGTTTTTTGTATTTTACCCTTTTTCTCCCCAATTTCGATCTTGTCTCATCACTTCAACTCCCCAATGGGCTCGAGAGGTGAAGGTTGAGTCATGCGTCCCCCGAAATATGACCCGCCAAACCACACTTCTTAACACCCACCTGCTTAACCCGGAAGCCAGCCGCACCAACCCTCCCCTAACCCGGACGATGCAGGGCCAATTGTGCGCTGCCCTATGGGACTCCCAATCACGGCCGGTTGTGATACAGCCCGGGATCAAACCCGGGTTTGTAGTGAGGCCTCTAGCAAACCGATGCAGTGTCTTAGACTGCTGCGCCACTCGGGAGGCCCACAAAACTGACTTTAGATCAGTGTCTAAAGTGACTTCATCCTAACTCTGGTAAGTATGGCCATCGTCACGGCAACTGTACCCACTTCCATGGCAACCAGAGCAGCTGCCACAGCAACCACAACCAGCAGAACAACCAACCTCTCACGATGCACCAAACAACAGCACGTTCCCAAACTAGTTTGACAAACTGCAGAGTATGTCAAAGTTGGCAGAGAGAGAGAGGTGAAAAACACAATGGCGCTAAGGGGGTGTTGTTTGTCATCTTGATGCGATATTAGTCATCTTCATAAGGCTGTTCTGCCGCCTGTGATCTAGCAGCCTCCGCCGTCTCACTCTCTGCTAATGATTAGGCCTCACCGAGCTCTCCCAGACTATTTGTGTTTGCACTCCCTTTCCAGAACCTATCCAGACATTTTATAAAGGTATCACCAAATTGAAAACACTTGAGGGAAAGTGGTGTTTACTGAAGTTCGCTCTTTGATTGCTCTCCGGAGCCCAAATAACACATGAAGAAAAAAGAGAGGGATAGAAAGAGAGGGAGAGGGAGAGGGGGAGAGAAATAAAGGGCTCTCCCGTTAGCCCTAGCCAGGATACAGAGTCAGCATTTTTATAAGAGCATTGTAATCAAACTCCATCTGAGGAGAATTGAGATCAAAGACAATGCAGGGCTTTCGTTGGGCTTTGAAAGGAAGCCATTGATTCTGCTGTAGGAGACTTCACAGAGTCTGTCTGCGGCTCCCTGAGACAGACAGGAAACGAGACGTCAGAGCGACATACTGTACAGAGACAAACAGAGATATAGGGAGACAGATATAGACAGGCATAGACTCATAGTGGTCCTGTGTGGCTGGTACAAGAAAGAGAAATAACAATGACACATACTGAGACATGCACAGGGGCGTCATGCACCCCCAAAATCTGAGGGGACACAAAGTACATGAGGGTGGCTGTGGGGTGGTTCTCTGGAAGTTGGAGAATTTTGCATATTTCAAACACCTGAAACAGCTTTTTCCTGCAACCTAGAGCCATAATAATTTTGCTTAATTCTATGTAAAAAAAAATATGTCTATTTTTCTGCATATCTAAGCAGACCTCTTGAGCTGTCTGTATCCTCGACTGGTGGTTATTTTTCTTTAAGAAACAAAATATTATCCTCTGCATCGCTGCTAAAATCTGGGTAAATGTGAGTCTTATTCAGGTCATTTAGTTATTGTTTGCTTTTCTAGAGTCTATCAACCTTGCCAGCAGGCATGCCAGCGAAGATAGTTAGGCAAGCTAGCTACTCTAACTTATTGATAACCTGAAATGGCTTCTTGATAGCTAGTTATGAAGTTGGGAGATTGGGAACCTACAGTTGAAGTCAGAAGTTTACATACACTTAGGTTGGAGTCATTAAAATTCATTTTTAAACCACTCCACAAATTTCTTGTTAACAAACTATAGTTTTGGCAAGTCAGTTAGGACATCTACTTTATGCATGACACAAGTAATTTTTCCAACAATTGTTTACAGACAGATTATTTCACTTACAATTCACTGTATCACAATTCCAGTGGGTCAGAAGTTTACATACACTAAGTTGACTGTGCCTTTAAACAGCTTGGAAAATTCCAGAAAATGATTTTATGGATTTAGAAGCTTCTGATAGGCTAATTGACATCATTTGAGTCATTTGGAGGTGTACCTGTGGATGTATTTCAAGGCCTACCTTCAAACTCTTTGCTTGACATAATGGGAAAATGAAAAGAAATCAGCCAAGACCTCAGAAAAAGATTTGTAGACCTCCACAAGTCTGGTTCATCCTTGGGAGCAATTTCCAAACGTCTGAAGGTACCACGTTCATCTGTACAAAAAATAGTATGCAGTATAAACACCATGGGACCACGCAGCTGTCATACCGCTCAGGAAGGAGGAGCGTTCTGTCTCCTAGAGATGAACGTACTTTGGTGCGAAAAGTGCAAATCAATCCCAGAACAACAGCAAAGGACCATGTGAAGATGCTGGAGGAAACAGGTAAAAAAGTATCTATATCCACAGTAAAACGAGTCCTATATCGACATAACCTGAAAGGCCGCTCAGCAAGGAAGAAGCCATATCTCCAAAACCGCCATAAAAAAGCCAGACTACGGTTTGCAACTGCACATTGGGACAAAGATCGTAATTTTGGAGAAATGTCCTCTGGTCTGATGAAACAAAAATAGAACTGTTTGACCATAATGACCATCGTTATGTTTGGAGTAAAAAGGGGGTTACTTGCAAGCCGAAGAACACCATCCCAACCGTGATGCACGGGGGTGGCAGCATCATGCTGTGGAGGTGCTTTGCTGCAGGAGGGACTGGTGCACTTCACAAAATAGATGGCATCATAAGGAAGGAAAATTATGTGGATATATTGAAGCAACATCTCAAGACATCAGTCAGGAAGTTAAAGCTTGGTCGCAAATGGGAAGTGACCCTGTATATACTTACTTTCTCGTGTTCTTCTTATTTTTATTTATCTTACTATGTTATTTTTAGTACTACATTGATATTGATTACTGCATTGTTGGGTTTAGAGCTTGAAAGAAAGGCATTTCACTGTACTTGTGCAGGTGACATTAAAACTTGAAACTAGTGATGTGGACACCTAGGAACTTGAAGCTCTCAACCCGCTCCACTATAGCCCCGTCGGTGTGAGGGAGAGGTTGTTGTCCTGGCACCACACTGCCAATTCCCTGACCTCCTCACTATAGGCTGTCTCATCGTCGTCGGTGATCAGGCCTACCACGGTCGTGTCGTCAGCAAACTTAATGACGGTGTTGGAGTCATGCGCGGGCAGGACAGGAGGGGACTAAGCATGTGTCCCTGAGGGGCCCCCGTGTTGAGGGTCAGTGTGGCGGATGTGTTGTGGCCTACCCTCACCACCTCATGCATGAAGACACACTTAAGCCAAAGTGAGACACAGTGACATACTGAAATCCACTTTGAGTCAGGGAGACTGAGATAGATACTGAGTCAGGCTGAGATAGGTACTGAGTCAGGCTGAGATAGATACTGAGTCAGGCTGAGATAGATACTGAGTCAGGCTGAGATAGATACTGAGTCAGGCTGAGACAGATACTGAGTCAGATCTAGAATAACTTCGTTATACCTCAGAACCTTACAGCACTGACAAACTGTTTCCCCATCATAGTGTGTGTCCCATTGAAATCCCTGCTCAACAGAGGAACCAAACCCCGCCCGGCCACACTTTTCTCTGACATTTTAACTCTCAATTATGTCACCCTTAAAGAGTGACTGCGCAGTTAAATGGGCTTTAATTAGGAATTTGCATTAGTGCCTCTGACAAACAAAGACATTGAAAAGGCTAGAGGGTTATACCAGTGGATTACGGGAAAATAGGAGGTTTTCTTAGAATTATTGTTTCTCATTTTCTGAGGGAAGAGCAATATGTTGAAGAAATGAAAAAAAGGATATCTGCACGAAGCGCATGGCTGATAATGTAATGTGTTGATCGCCTCAGCGATTCTAGTGTTAATATAAATTACAACTGTGTGTTGTTGTGCCCTGCAGTCGTGAGCCTGGAGGGCCGTGCTGTGCACCTGGCCACATTGGTCCTTGAGGCAGAGGAGCGCGTGGGGGACCTGCAGGCCCAGATGTGGAGTGAGGGCCCCAGGGAGCGGGAGGCAACGGACCATGAGATGCAACTCAAGGCCTGGGAGTGGAGGCACCGGCTCTTCAAACGCATGCAGACGGGCTTTGAGCATGCCAGTCAGTAGACACACACACACAAACACACACACAAACATGCAGACCCAAACACAAGCCAAAACACACATAATACACGCACAGGGGCACTACCTTGTGCCACTTAATTGTAAAATATGCTGTGTATGTGTGTGTGTGTGTGACATTATACATTTTTGAGCCAGAGATCATGTGCTCAGCTCCACTTGAAGTACAGTTGCTGCCCAGATCTTTCCAGCATTGCCTTGATTTAAAATGTTCTGTTATTTTTTGGGTGGCATTCTGTCTGGGCTGAGCTGTTAATGGGTTCCATGTTGTTACGGCTGGGACAGAGCTGGGTGTGTGTGTGTGTGTGTGTGTGTGTGTGTGTACACTACCAGTCAAAAGTTTGGACACACCTACTCATTCAAGGGTTTTTTCTTTTTACTATTTTTTACACTGTAGTATAATAGTGAAGACATCAAAACTATGAAATAACACATATGGAATCAGGTATTAACCAGAAAAGTGTTAAACAAATCAAAGTATATTTTATATTTGAGGTTCTTCAAATAGCCACCCTTTGCCTTGATGACAGCTTTGCACACTCTTGGCATTCTCTCAACCAGCTTCATGAGGTAGTCATCTGGAAAGCATTTCAATTAACAGGTGTGCCTTCTTAAAATTTAATTTGTGGAATTTATTTCCTTCTTAATGTGTTTGAGCCAATCAGTTGTGTTGTGACAAGGTATGGGAGGGTATACAGAAGATAGCCCTATTTGGTAAAATACCAAGTCCATATTATGGCAAGAACAGCTCAAATAAGCTAAGAGAAATGACAGTCCATCATTACTTTAAGACATGAAGGTCAGTCTATATGGACAATTTCAAGAACTTTTAAAGTTTCTTCAAGTGCAGTCTCAAAAACCATCAAGCGCTATGATGAAACTGGCTCTCATGAGGACCACCACAGGAAAGGAAGACCCAGAGTTACCTCTGCTGCAGAGGATAAGTTCATTAGAGTTACCAGCCTCAGAAATTGCAGCCCAAATAAATGCTTCACAGAGTTCAAGTCACAGACACATGTCAACATCAACTGTTCAGAGGGGACTGTGTGAATCAGGCATTCATGGTCGAATTGCTGCAAAGAAACCACTACTAAAGGACACCAATAAGAAGAAGAGACCTGCTTGGAACACGAGCAATGGACAATAGACCGGTGGAAATATGTCCTTTGGTCCGAATTTGAGATTTTTGGTCTTTGTGAGACGCGGTGTGGGTGAACGAATGATCTCTGCTTGTGTAGTTCCTACCGTAAAGCATGGAGGAGGAGGTGTTATGGTGTGGGGGTGCTTTGCTGTTGACACTGTCTGTGATTTATTTAGAATTCAAGGCACACTTAACCAGCATGGCTACCACAGCATTCTGCAGCGAGTCGCCATCCCATCTGGTTTGGGCTTAGTGGGACTATCATTTGTTTTTCAACAGGACAATGACCCAACACTCCTCCAGGCTGTGTAAGGGCTATTTTACCAAGAAGGAGAGTGATGGAGTGCTGCATCAGATGACCTGGCCTCCACAATTACCCGACCTCAACCAAATTGAGATGGTTTGGGATGAGTCGGACGGCAGAGTGAAGGGAAAGCAGCCCACAAGAGTTAAGCATATGTGGGAACTCCTTCAAGACTGTTGGAAAAGCATTCCAGGTGAAGCTGGTTGAGAGAATGCTAAGAGTGTGCAAAGCTGTCATCAAGGCAAACGGTGGCTACTTTGAAGAATCTCAAATACAAAATATTATTTTAATGTTTAAAACTTATTTCGTTACTACATGATAGCTGTCTATTTACCACCACAAACCAATGCTGGCATTAAGATTGCACTGAATGAGTTGTACAAGGCCATTAATCAACAGGAAAACGCTCATCCAGATGCAGCGCTCCTAGTAGCAGGGGACTTTAATGCAGGGAAACTTAAATCCGTTCTACCTAATTTCTACCAGCATGTTAAATGTGCAACCAGAGGGGAAAAAACTCTAGACCACCTTTACTCCACACACAGAGACGCATACAAAGCTCTCCCTCGCCCTCCATTTGGCAAATCTGACCATAACTCTATCCTCCTGATTCCTGCTTATAAGCAAAAACTGAAGCAGGAAGCACCAGTGATTCGGCTAATAAAAAAGTGGTCAGATGACGCAGATGCTAAGCTACAGGACTGTTTTGCTAGCACAGACTGGAACATGTTCTGGGATTCTTCAGACAGCATTGAGGAGTACACCACATCAGTCACTGGCTTCATCAATAAGTGCATCGATGATGTCGTCCCCACAGTGACCGTACGTACATACCCCAACCAGAAGCCATGGATTACAGGAAACATCCGCACTGAGCTAAAGGGTAGAGCTGCCGCTTTCAAGGAACGGGACTCTAACCCGGACGCTTATAAGAAATCCCGCTATGACCTCCGACGAACCATCAAACAGGCAAAGAGTCATTACAGGTCTAAGATTGAATCATACTACACTGGCTCTGACGCTCGTCGGATGTGGCAGGGCTTGAAAACTATTACAGACTACAAAGGGAAGCACAGCCGCGAGCTGCCCAGTGACACAAGCCTACCAGACGAGCTAAACCACTTCTATGCTCGCTTCGAGGCAAGCAACACTGAAGCATGCATGAGAGCACCAGCTGTTCCGGACGACTATGTGATCACGCTCTCCGTAGCCGATGTGAGTAAGACTTTTAAGCAGGTCAACATTCACAAGGCCGCAGGGCCAGACGGATTACCAGGACGTGTACTCCGAGCATGTGCTGACCAACTGGCAAGTGTCTTCACTGACATTTTCAACATGTCCCTGACTGAGTCTGTAATACCAACATGTTTCAAGCAGACCACCATAGTCCCCGTGCCCAAGAACTCTAAGATAACCTGCCTAAATGACTACCGACCCGTGGCACTGACGTCTGTAGCCATGAAGTGCTTTGAAAGACTGGTCATGGCTCACATCAACAGCATAATCCCAGAAACCCTAGACCCACTCCAATTTGCATACCGCCCCAACAGATCCACAGATGATGCAATCTCTATCGCACTCCACACTGCCCTTTCCCACCTGGACAAGAGGAACACCTACGTGAGAATGCTATTCATTGACTACAGCTCAGCATTCAACACCATAGTGCCCTCAAAGCTCATCACTAAGCTAAGGATCCTGGGACTAAACACCTCCCTCTGCAACTGGATCCTGGACTTCCTGACGGGCCGCCCCCAGGTGGTAAGGGTAGGTAACAACACATCTGCCACACTGATCCTCAACACGGGGGCCCCTCAGGGGTGCGTGCTCAGTCCCCTCCTGTACTCTCTGTTCACCCATGACTGCATGGCCAGGCATGACTCCAACACCATCATTAAGTTTGCCGACGACACAACAGTGGTAGGCCTGATCACCGACAACGATGAGACAGCCTATAGGGAGGAGGTCAGAGATCTGGCCGTGTGGTGCCAGGACAACAACCTCTCCCTCAACGTGACCAAGACAAAGGAGATGATTGTGGACTACAGGAAAAAAAAGAGGACTGAGCACGCCCCCATTCTCATCGACGGGGCTGTAGTGGAACAGGTTGAGAGCTTCAAGTTCCTTGGTGTCCACATCACCAACGAACTATCATGGTCCAAACACACCAAGACAGTCGTGAAGAGGGCACGACAAAGCCTATTCCCCCTCAGGAGACTAAAAAGATTTGGCATGGGTCCTCAGATCCTCAAAAAATTCTACAGCTGCACCATCGAGAGCATCCTGACTGGTTGCATCACCTCCTGGTATGGCAACTGCTTGGCCTCTGACCGCAAGGCACTACAGAGGGTAGTGCGTACGGCCCAGTACATCACAGGGGCAAAGCTCCCTGCCATCCAGGACCTCTATACCAGGCGGTGTCAGAGGAAGGCCCTCAAAATTGTCAAAGACTCCAGTCACCCTAGTCATAGACTGTTCTCTCTGCTACCGCACGGCAAGCGGTACCGGAGTGCCAAGTCTAGGTCCAAAAGACTTCTCAACAGCTTCTACCCCCAAGCCATAAGACTCCTGAACAGCTAATCATGGCTACCCGGACTATTTGCACTGCCCCCCCACCCCATACTTTTTATGCTGCTGCTACTCTGTTAAGTATTTATGCATAGTCACTTTAACTCTACCCACATGTACATATTACCTCAACTACCTCAACTAGCCGGTGCCCCCGCACATTGACTATGCAACGGTACCCCCCTGTATATATAGCCTCCCTACTGTCACTTTATTCTATTGTATATATAGCCTCCCTACTGTCACTTAATTTTTACTTCTGCTCTTTTTTTCTCAACACTTTTTTGTTGTTTTATTCTTACTTTTTTGTTTAAAATAAATGCACTGTTGGTTAAGGGCTGTAAGTAAGCATTTCACTGTAATGTCTGCACCTGTTGTATTCGGCGCATGTGACCAATAAAATTTGATTTGATTTGATTTGATTTGATTTGATTGATTTGATTTGATTCCATATGTGTTATTTCACAGTTTTGATGTCTTCACTATTATTCTACAATGTAGAAAATAGTAAAAATAAAGAAAAACCCTTGAATGAGTAGGTGTGTCCAAACTTTTGACTGGTACTGTATTGTATGTGTGTGTGTGTGTAGTGTGTATGCGCATGCGTGTGTGTTTGTGCGTATGTGTGTGTATATATCAGTTGAGGCTCCTCAGTGGAGGCAGGGATTGACCATCCTCCTCAGTGAATTTCATAAAAATAAGAATAGTGAAACATTTAAAAAGTGATCCTTTTTAGATAAAACTATACTATCAATATATTCACGTCACCAAATAATTGATTAAAATGTACTGTGTTGCAATGAAGGTCTACAATAGCCTCAACAGCACTCTGTAGGGTAGCACCATGGTGTAACCGGAGGACAGCTAGCTTCCGTCCTCCTCTGGGTACATTGACTTCAATACAAAACCTAGGAGGCTCATGGTTCTACCCCTTCCATAGACTTACACAGTAATTATGACAACTTCCGGAAGACGTCCTCCAACCTATCAGAGCTCTTGCAGCATGAACTGACATGTTGTCCACCCAATCAAAGGATCAGAGAATTAATCTAGTACTGAAAGCATAAGCTACAGCTAGCTAGCACTGCAGTGCATACAATGTGGTGAGTAGTTGACTCAAAAAGAGAGAAAGACCATGGTTGTACAGTTTTGAACAAATTAATTTCTTCAAAGATGAAGGAGAAGCAAGAGAGAGAGAAAGAGAGGGATAAAGAGAGAGATATTTCATCATTTATTTTAACTTTCACATACTTAGCTAGCAAATGCAGCTAGCTAGTTTAGCTTACTCAAACACCCGGCTCAAACAGAGGCATGCTACGTTAGCTAGCTGGCTATGACTATCTGACACAACACTGGAACTCTTCCAAGTCAAGGTAAGCTTTTGGTTTTACTCATTTATTGCCACCGGAGCCCGCCGGTGTAAGTGCTAAACAGCTTACTGACTGTACACTGTACTGCATTATTGTAGTGGGTTTACTAACGCGTTCGTTTTATTAGCTATGTTGACTATGATGTTACTTTAGCTAATATGGTGACAACGATGTAGGTTATGTGTAGCGGTTATGATATGGTTTGGCTTGGAACGTTTTTTTGGTCACATACAGCTGATGTGTTGTTCATTGAAGTCCACAAGTGAAGGCAAAAGGTGAGAGGAGGAGAGTGCATAGATGTGAGAAGGAATACAACGTGGCTGCTATGAAAGTGAACTGTGTTTACGTGTGATCAGGGGTGCATCCAATTCTGTTGAAAAATGTTTCTTAAACGGAAGCAAACAGAACGCAACAGGGATAAACATGCCTGAATTTGTCCAATGGAAACTCTTATTTTCAACTGTTGGACTAATGATCCTGTTGGACTAACATCCTAGATCAGCTAGATGCAGGCCAGAGTGTGCAAGATTTTATTGAATGTGTCACTGTCTGTCCTGTGTTGCTGTCTGTCACCTTTGTCTCTCGACCTGTGTGCACCAAGTTGGAAACTTTAATTCATAGGCTAGGTTGTAGAAACCTCATGATGGGTATAGGGAAAATTTGAGTATCATGTAGAAGGCTCAACCTATCGATGTTACTTTGAACTGGGTGAATGGAATATGAATGACAGTCATCCAATATGCTGCAATAGAAATAAGGCCATGCTCATGAAAATAATCGTCCTCCCTCATCTTAAACGGCACCGACCGCCACTGGTGTATGTATACAGTACATACATGCAAGTGTACACATGCGTGTGTGTATGAGTGTGTAGTCATATGTTTGTGTGTGTGCTCGCATATGAGTGTGTGTCACCACTTCCGCCGAGGCTGCCTGCCCTCCTTGTTCGGGCAGGCTTCGGCGTTCGTCGTCACCGGAGTACTAACCACTGCCGCCCCAATCATCATCACAATTGTCTTGTCAATCACACACACCTGGTTCTATTCCCCTAATTAGTCCGTGTATAAGTGTTCCCTCTGCCCCTTTGTCCTTGTGGGTGGTTGTTTATTTGTGGAGGTTAGTGATGCTCGGTGGAGCACGTGTATTGTGTATCGACGGGAGTATTTTTCCCGTATGCCTTGTATTTTCCAGCGCGCCTGTTTAGTGCCCTGGAGTGTGTTTGACGCATTTCTGCGTAAACCTGTATTTTGCAGATTAAAGCCTGTTATTCTGTGATTTACCCTCCTGCACCTGACTCCTTCATCACCACCTCATCACAGTGTGTGTAGCGCGTCTGTGTTCTCTCTTTGACGTTTTATAGGCATTTCATGACATGCGTGGTAGTAGGTAGACCGGCAGCCCCCTTACACCCGAATCAATCATTACTCTACATACTCCGTGCTTTTATGACCGGATGGCTTTTGTAGTACAGTAGTGAAATTATTCAGATAGTGTAAGATGCATGTTATGATTATGAATAAAGAAAAATACGTCTGAGTTATTGAACACTGTATGTAACTGTTTTACTGTAAGTAGACTGATGAATAATTATGAATGTGGGATATCAATTTAGTTTATCTTGATTTAACCACGATAGTCCGCACAGCAAAACTTTTCACTGTTTTCCAGGGAGTGCTGGGTATGTGATATATTATGAAATTATTAACACTTTTTGACAGCACTGACTGACTGTGATGGCATGAATAACATTGTTGAAGCCTTAAAAAGTAAACAATAGCACATAATATAAAGATGTCTGTCTGTCTGTCCGCAGGCCCTCCGGATGCTCCCAGCTTTGTCCGTTTGTCTGTCAGTAGCAGCTCCTGTCTGAGGGTGGACTTCCAGGAGCCTCTCAGTGTCAACTCTGCAGTGGTCACCAAGTACAAGGGTCAGCAACTGTTACATGCTTATTACAATGCTTACTAATAAGACATTAAGTCATGTTTATTATTCTATAGAGATTGGGAGGAAAGTAGGTACGATATGCACTAATGCAGGGATGGGCAACTTTGATGGCGGTGGGGGCCACATCAAATCTGAACTCGTCATGAGGGGCCGCAGTTGCTGCTCACCTGACATCTGCATATGCCATTCAGAAGGCCAAGACGTGTCTGCATCAGTGCATTCTAAACACTTTGAGGTCAACTAATTATGAATATTTAGTATTAGCACTGATGACAGTGCGGCGTGCTCGAAAGAGGCAGCAAAGTGCCGAGCAGGGCCATTCTTTGACATCAACATTGTTTGGCAGATGGTGCTGTCAGTTTTGCTCTAAGTTTATGCTTTCATGCATATGGCAGCATCCTTTAAAACCCACCAGCTCATGTATTATCTATGGGCAAGAAATTATATAATTGTTGCCATGGGGCGGAGAGGAAAATTTGCAGTTTTACACCAAATGTTCTGCAATTTGACACATTTTGCCATAGGGTGGAGAGAAATGTTTGCAGTTTTTAATATGATATCTGAATGAAACTGACTAAGAAAATCAATCGGGGCTCCCCGGGCTCTAATTCGACTTTGATTACTACAGGTTTAGATAGCTGGCCGTTAGACTAATTTACCAATCTAATATTTTTTTGCTGATATGGTCTAATTGAGTGACTATCAGTGACTGACATAACAAGATAAAACTGTTGATACAGAACCAAATTTCGAAATTGCACCTTGTTTATTCTACTACTCTACCTCGCAACAGTAAGTTTAGTTTTTTGTGGTGGGGCGGGGGGAATTGATCCAAGCGGCCCATGGGCCACCAGTTGCCCATACCTGCACTAATGTAACTGTGTGTGTGCGTATGTGCATTCGCATTCACGTGCGTGTGTGAATCCGTGTGCGTGTGTGCTCCACAGTGAGGTGGAGCAGTTCCCCTTCCCTCATTCCTCTGTTGGGTGAGACGCTAGTAGAGGACACCAGTCTACTGCAGTGCAACATTACTGACCTCACACCTGTGAGTATACTCATACATCAGAGTCATGTTCAGTAGGGCACACTGTACCAAAACGTTTTGCAATGGAAAAACAAAATTCCATTGCTACATTTATATGCTCTTTTTGGACAAGTTTAGATTGGACCTTTCTGTTTTACTCGGTTTTCTACCTACTGAACTCAACCCAAGGCTAATCCAAAGCACTGATGTTGTTTTCCCCCAGCTATCAGTGAATAGCCCTCCTGCATAAACTACCACCATACCTTACTTCATTGTTAACTTACACGTACGAGATACCAGACCCGGTCTCAGGGATGGCTAACACTGAGTTAGATAAATCTGCTTTTAGATTTTTGCAACTTACTTGTGAAATAATCTCCAAGGTTCTCTGAAATTGGATGAATTGGTGCCTCTATGGCAATTCAAAAGGCTGATTGAGGACCTTTTTACTGAAGAATGTGTTTGTTTTCTATGATTGTGTTTTGTGTTCGTGTATTGATGTGAATATTGATGTATATAGTGATGTGTACAGTGTGTATTGATGTGTATATAGGGCTCATCTGTAAAATAGATATTGGCCTCTAAGCATGACTCCCTGTCAAAATAAAGGTTAAATCAAATTAAATAAATAAACTTATTCTATCAATGTCAAAGCTAAAATACCACCCCTGCAGGATTAACTGACTCAACTAGGCACTGTCTATCCAATGGCAGTTCCGTTATCTCTTGCCCCTAATCTCTACAGATCTGATAGATGCCGCTCTGCCTTACCACTGAGCTAGTATACAGCTAGGGACTGTCCCTCAAACTCAACAGTAAGGGCCTTACAGTAGAGTGGGCTATCCCCGAAGTCGAGTGCCTATGCTCCGTCACCCTGCAACCCGGCGCCTCTTCAGAATCGTCCAGGCCAGAGCTTCAACCTTAGAACACTATGAGAGGCTCCTTCCCGGGTTGACTTAGCCCAGAATCTCCCCTCCTACGACTCCTACCAAGGCACTCAGTACCTATAGTTGGGTCCCAGGTCAGGTTCCTTCATACCAGCCACTCGGGTACCCGATAGAATAACTAACCCAATGCTATAAAAATCCTCAATCAATCAAGTCTATTCCGGAAACCTAGAGTAAAACGACATGCACTTGTATGACTCTTTGATGACACAGGGTTTCAGAACAATAAAGCAAGTTTATTCAAAATTACAGAAACAGGCATAAAAAATCCCAAATCAATCAATCCCAAATCAATATCACAAATCAAATGATAAGCAAAAATTGACAGTAAATTAAATTGATAGAGCACCTTCAGCGCCCTTAACTAAACCCCCGTTGGGCTGCGCCAATAAAATATTTTTTTGTCTATTACAATTTTATGAGAAGCACAATATTTAATAACACATTTTTTGGCTCCCCCCTCAGGATGATCAGTCCCTCAGATGGCGTCTAAAACTCTAACAACTACATTACCAAACCTCTACCAATGTGGTAACCTTAAGGATTCCTCCTAGAATTTTACTTTAACTGAGTATAATCTAAATCTAAATGTAAGTATAATATAAATCTAAAGATATTTTAAGCTAAAAAAGCTACAGCAAAAATCTTCTTCCAGCAGTCAACAGGTTCTTCTAGCAAATCTCAAGGAGAGTGCTCCTCTCCCAAAAATCATAGCTCTTTTATACCCTCCATTCTTCTTTCTGCTAACTCATCGTGACTGACACCTGCTCCGATGACGCATTCAGTGGTGAACACCTAATGCGGACATCGCTCCTTTCCTCGCTTACACAGGATGCCCGCCTTGACAGGATGTCTCCTCCTTGCCGCTCTGACCAGGGAACTTCCAATGCAGGCTTGCATTCTTAATGTACTTTATTAAAACATAAATCTTTTAACATTACCATTCCCCACTTAGCTCCATTACAATCCCCCTATAACCTAACTTATTACTCCCATTACCTCTTAGATATCCAACAAGTTAAACATCCCATCATTACAACATTTCAGCATTATAACCTTTCATTATCAACCTTCTACAGGCTGTACGGCCTTGTTCCTATAGGCTTAACAAACATAGTCTATATGCATCATACTTTAATGCAAATAACATTATAACATTGTTAACCATTTTACTGCATTACTTTAATCACACATTGTTAACCCTTTTACTGCAATACATAAAAACCCTTTTTAATAATATCTTCCACTGTACATTTCCCCATGCTTTCAAACTTGAACATTTAACATATGTAACCTTTAATCATTATTTTGGTAAATTCCAGTCCAACCTTTTTTTTTAAACTTATTTTTCTTATTTTCCTTAGTCAATGTCAATTCTCTCTCAATGTTCATTCTTCTTTGTGCGCCGTGTGTGTGTGAAATTGAAACTTCTTCATGAGTGTGTGCGTGGATGTATGCACATTTCCACTGCTTCCACCTCAGGCCGTATAAACACTGCCACTGATGGGATACAGCTACACTTTAAATCGTCCCCATTTACGGGTGAGAAAGCGACACACAAAAATACAACAGTTAGCTTTCCAGCAGCTGGTAGCTTTGACCGATAAAAACATTTAGAAGGCCTCTATTCCACATGAAGGGCCTTGATAGGAATCACATATGTGACCGACCGGCTTGATTCGGTCTTATGTAGCAACATTTGAAATGATGTTTTTTACATTGGATAAAAGTAGAGACTCAGAGCTAGAAAATTGTATATCATACACTACAGTTTAGGAACAATGGGAAAGTAATTCTGCTTTGAAAGTTGATAACCTTGTAACCTCACTTTTGAGAAAATGGCCTTTGAATGTTTTGGTACACCCACTGGAGAGCTCTTCTTTGTCTACACCCATTCAGCATCGTTCACTCCCTCTTAAGCTATAGCCCCGCCCGTAAACTCAGAGCGTTGTCAGATTGCCCGTTTGTCATTTAAGAGCGTTTCGCTCTCGGAGCGTTCAGAGCGCACACTAGACGCTCTGGCCGAGGAGTAGGGTTGATCCGAGAGATCTGTCCTAACAACAGCAGTCAAGCACCCAAGCTATCTGGCTAATGTTGGCTAGCTTGCTAGCTACTTTCATTTTACTCGCCTTAGCAAATCAAATCAAATCAAATTTTATTGGTCACATGCGCCGAATACAACAGGTGCAGACATTACAGTGAAATGCTTACTTACAGCCCTTAACCAACAGTGCATTTATTTTTAACAAAAAAAAAGTTAAAATAAAACAACAACTAAAAAAGTGTTGAGAAAAAAAAGAGCAGAAGTAAAATAAAGTAACAGTAGGGAGGCTATATAAACAGGGGGGTACCGTTGCAGAGTCAATGTGCGGGGGCACCGGCTAGTTGAGGTAGTTGAGGTAATATGTACATGTGGGTAGAGTTAAAGTGACTATGCATAAATAATTAACAGAGTAGCAGCAGCGTAAAAAGGATGGGGTGGGGGGGCAGTGCAAATAGTCCGGGTAGCCATGATTAGCTGTTCAGGAGTCTTATGGCTTGGGGGTAGAAGCTGTTGAGAAGTCTTTTGGACCTAGACTTGGCACTCCGGTACCGCTTGCCGTGCGGTAGCAGAGAGAACAGTCTATGACTAGGGTGGCTGGAGTCTTTGACAATTTTGAGGGCCTTCCTCTGACACCGCCTGGTATAGAGGTCCTGGATGGCAGGAAGCTTGGCCCCAGTGATGTACTGGGCCGTACGCACTACCCTCTGTAGTGCCTTGCGGTCGGAGGCCAAGCAGTTGCCATACCAGGCGGTGATGCAACCAGTCAGGATGCTCTCGATGGTGCAGCTGTAGAATTCTTTGAGGATCTGAGGACCCATGCCAAATCTTTTCAGTCTCCTGAGGGGGAATAGGCTTTGTCGTGCCCTCTTCACGACTGTCTTGGTGTGTTTGGACCATGATAGTTCGTTGGTGATGTGGACACCAAGGAACTTGAAGCTCTCAACCTGTTCCACTACAGCCCCGTCGA